CTTGCTCCATGGCTTGTATCTTTTAAACTGAAGCCGTGGTTGCATTAAGTTAGTTGTAATTACCGACTCCGGCAAAGCATAACTTATTACATGTTGCTTTTATTTTATTACCCTGCGTTCCCACACTTTGATTTAAGTTTTTTTGGAGGTTTTATAGATTTTTTTTCTACTTTGACATTTGAAGCCATTCTGAATTGATTTGAGAAAATACAAGATTACATGCTCACTGATTGGATGACCAAGTTAAATTAACCAATCATATTTCATGTAATAAAGCAGTATACTAGTTAGAGAGGGAATTAAATACGCATTTTCTTTTAATTTTAGTGTTTCTTTTTAGTTGTGAATCGAATCGAAATTCTTAAATTTGATATCGGAATCGAATCGATGACCGCTTAACCGGTTTTCAATGCATAGGAGCGTATCGTTACACCTATAAGCAACGCTAATATGTGAAAAATAAGACTTATCACTGAAACTCAAAGTTACATGTACAGAATAATATTTTTCAATATTCTTTATATATCATAAAAATAACTATTTTGCATCAACTCTGGTAATTTGACATACATTTAAGAAAGCAAACTGAATGCAAATTTATTGTTTTTTTAGCTCAATTACATACTCTTATGTGAATTGAACAGCACACAAATCCGTGGCCAGTTGTTACAAACTTTATAGGAACTATCCTTTGATGTAACATATTGATAATCATGCCTCAATATACGTCCAATACAATGTAACATATTTATTATCATGCCTCAACTAAAGTCAAATATTGTAACATATTTATTATCACGCCCCAACTATTACACCTATAAGCAACGCTAGTATGTGAAAAATAAGACTAATCGCTGAAACTCAAAGATACAAGTACAGGATAATATTTTTCTATATTCTTTATCTATCATGAAAATGGCTGTGGTAATTAGATGTAAATCTAAGAAAGCAAACTGAATGCAAATTTATTGTTTTTTTTTAGCTCAATAACATACTCTTATGTGAATTGTTGTTCTCCCATCAACTTGAACAGCACACAGATCCGTGACCAGTTGTTACAAACTTTATAGGAACTATCCTTTGGTTTAACATATTTATTATCATGCCCCAACTAAAGTCAAATATTGTAACATATTTATTATCATGCCCAACTATTACTACATTGTATTACATCCAATAAAATGTAACATATTTATTATCATGCCCCAACTATAGTTGAATATTATGCAACACATTTTTATCATGCCCCAACTATTACGTCCAATATAATGTAACATATTTTCTATCATGCCCCAACTATTATTATTACATCCAATAAAATGTAACATATTTTTAGCTCGACTATACGAAGTATATGGAGAGCTGTCCTACTCGCCCCGGCGTCGGCGTCGGCGTCCGCGTCCAGATTTTAGATTAAAGTTTTGGTGCAGTAAAATATTTTTCACTATAACTTTCTCATTTCTTAAGGTATCAACTTCAAACTTCAAATATATGTTCCTTATCATCAACCACATCTTATGTGACAAGGTTCATAACTCTAGCACCAATATTTTTAGATTTATCTCCCCTTGAACTTAGATTTTTCCTCAAAAAGTACTATTTCTTACTGTTTCTTCTTTATTTCTTAAGGGATCAACCTCATACTTCAAATATATTTTAGTTATCATCATCCCCATCTTATGTGACAAGGTTCATAACTCTAGCACTAGATTTATCTCCCTTTGAACTTAGAATTTTCCATAAAACATATTATTTTTTTACTGTTACTTATTTATTTCTAAAGGGATCAACTTCATACTTCAAATATATTTACGTTATCATCATCCACATCTTATGTGACAAGGTTCATAACTCTAGCACCAATATTGCAAGAATTATCTCCCCATAAACTTAGATTTTTTTACTAGAAAAATGTTATTTTTTATTACAACTTTTTTATTTTTAAAGGTATCTACCTCAAACTTCAAATACTTATTCCTTATCATCAATTACATTTTATGTGACAATGTTCATAACTCTTGAAGCAATATTTACACATTTATCTCTCTTTGAACTTTTCTTTAAGAAATATAATAACTTCTTTACTTTTTAGGGTATCTACTTCAAACTTCAAATATATATTTCTTATCATTACACAAATGTTGTGTGACAAGGTCCATAACTCTAGCATGACTATTTCTAGAATTATTCCCCTTGATCTTGGAATTTATGTTAACAAATATTATTTTTTTACTATAACTTAATACATAATTATACATAATTGATTTTTCTTTCATAGTTTTGTCCTCCTTACTGCGTCCAGTATTTTATTAGTCGAGCTTCGCTGTCTCCTGTGATAGCTCTTGTTTATCACGCCCCAACTATTATTATTACATCCAATAAAATGTCACATATTTAATATCATTCCCCAACTATTACGTCCAATTTAATGTAACATCTTTATTAGCATACCCCAACTAACTTTCAATGTAATGTAACATATTTATTATCGTGCCCCAACTAACATTTAATTTAATATAACATCTTAATTAGCATACCCCAACTAACTTTCAATGTAATGTAACATATTGATTATCATGCCCCAAATATTACGTCCAACATAATGTTACATATTTATTATCACGCCCCAACTAAAGTCCAATATTATGTAACATATTAATCAGCATGCCCCAACGGACATCCAATTAAATGTAACATTTAAAGTGTATTGGTACACGGGTACATGTTCCAATATACAGTTGACTCTCGGTAACTCAAGTTTGAAGGGACTGGGCATTTCATTTCGAGAGAAACGGAATTCGAGTAACGTATGTTTGCCACCATTACGTTAACATTCGTACATGTATATACACAATTGACTGTCGGTTATGCTGCAATATTTAACGGTTGAAATGACGGTTTATCATTTAAAACTGCAAATTTTAAATGAACAAAAAATATTATTTAAAATTTAATACATGTATATTAATACTGAAACATAAACACAAACATTTGTAGCAATGACATAAATGGGTCAGTATTCATCAGTAATAATATTCAGCGCATGTTTACAACAAGCACTCATAACAATTTATTACGATAGAAGCATACTAACATACAGTATATATTTAAACAGTATGTTTCATACTTGGAGAATGTGAATTAATCATCGGACGAAAATGAAAGTACAAATATCGTTAAACCGGAAGTACATATTAATGTATGCCTATGAAAAATGACGGAACATAACATTATACAAATGTCATTTACCTACCGATTGAAGTCAATTTTACAACGTGTTAATGATACATGATGACCAACAATTAAGATTACTATGAAACGTGTGAACCAGATTGACAACATCCTTGATGTCGCCGACCTTTGATCTGTTGGCTGTTTTTACACTTTGACTTATTGAAATGAAAATATGTTGTACTTAAATTGACAGGACCCTACATTCATTTCGACTAAACAGGAGTGTCAGTAAGTCAAAATTTGACACAATTGGAATTTAAATACAAAGATAAGGAAGGATATTTGACGGGACTTTAGAAATTCTTTGACTGACGCGGAATTTTGTGTAAAGCGATTTTGACTTATTGAGAGTCAACTGTATATAAACACATTAAAAGTGTATCTTTTGGATATTGTTATAAAATATCTCTCTTATATAAAACTTGACATTTATAACCTATGCATAAATATGTTCATATACTACTGTGAGGACAAATGAAGTCGAGGCATAAGTGTCAAATGGGCACAATTCTAGTTATTTTGTAAAGAGAACAAATCAACCTCCAGTGTTCAAATTTTATTGACAAAAATAATGCAATAAAATGAATTACATAAGTACATAAATCACAAAATAAAATATTGTCTCAACATTTTATATAGCAAATAATTTAAAAGAAATTAAGTATTTCTTTTGAAGTTGGAATTTCTCAAACAAGTTTTACTTCAACTCCCGCCCCCCCCCCCCAAAAAAAAAAAAAAATACAAACAAACAAACAAAAAAAAACAAAAATTATGTTCTGTAAAATAATTAAATAAGATAAATGAATTAAATTCAGCAAAGAATTAATCAGTATATAGACTGTAGATTTCAACTCAAACTAAGTTCTAACTTTGACTTCCTTAGGTAAGAAATAATAAACTTCAATGTCAATCAATGATAATTATCTTCTTGTTCAAATGTATGCTCTCGCCCAAAACCTACAATAATTGAACAATACTTGACAACAATTGACAAAACATAAAGACAGTTCACTGAACAATAACAACTAACCTATCGTTCTATAATGTTACCACTGAATGTTTGAATGCCATTGTACAGTGATAACTATGGTGATTTTATATAGTGCTTTATATAAACATTGTACATGAGTTTTGTTATTATTGATACCATGAAATCTTGTTTATTTGTGTGAAACTCACACATTTTACTTAAGTAGCAGCAAGAATAAAATTTTTATCGCTGCATTATATAATAGATATTTCAATGTGCATTATATGATAGATATTTCAATAGAGTATGGAATTTAAATTTGCTGTATTAAAGCTATAAGTACTTTACAATTGTTTATGTTTTGTTATGTCTGCATTAATTACCATTGCTTGGTTCTACATCATTTGATACATTTTGATAATATTGTTACTCTCATTTGTGTATATGTATGTACTAAAATAAAGTGTACTGGTCTCAGCACACCAACATACAGCTCGAGGATCCTCTACATTCTCCAGTATAGTTGTCCTGTCTTTACAGTCACCACTTACTCTATATATACATATACCTTTGATATCGCACACAAAGAGGGACCCGTCATCTAACAGTGAAATACCCCATGGGCTTCCAGTGGTTACATTCCTTCCTATCATCTCTCCCTGCCAATTAAACCTTATAACTGCATTCTTGTGGGTATCAGATACATAGATTGAATGGTTTGTGGTCACATAACAAGGGTAACTGAAAATACTGTCACCATTGGAGTCTTTCTCAACTGTAATTTTAATATTACCTTTCAAGTCCATGATTTGGAGTTTAGCGGGATATAAAATGTAACTGCAAGTTTCCCCTGATGATGGCTTATTCCATGGCACTCTCCATATACTTTCAGTTTGTTATTCAATAAGAGAGAGTTTGAGGAGAAGGAAATGAACTGTATTGTTTTAATTTTTGGTAATGTAACAGCAAGTGTATCTCTAGCCACTATGGTGATATCCCAGGGATATGTTTCAAGCTGTAGTTGTTTGATTGTTCCACTTTTTATGTCTATCATTTTAATTGAGTTATTATTTCTATCTGCTACAAATAATTGGTTCTGAGGAGAGACAGTTATACCTATTATATAGCAATCATTTTTATCTGAGGAAGTTTGAGCATTGATGTTTCTAGGGGTAGACATTTTCATTGATACTGCAGTCTTATTTGTTCGTTCAGCTGGTTTGTTCATGTCCTTTTTTCGCAATGTTCCTAATGATTTCTCATTCTGAAGGAATTGTTTGATTGCTTGATTGGATTCAAAAGTGTATTCAGCAACATCATTGGTTGTTGGTAGTTGTTTTGTTATATTTTCATTGTGTAATATCAGTTGCTGAGCTATTTTCAATTCAGTAAATAGTTGGTCAGTTTTCTTGTTGGTGTTGAATTGTTTTAGAGTATCAGCTGATGCTTGGAGTGATTTGTTGATGTCATCACATGTTGTTTCTGTTGTTTTCAACTTGTTGTTGTTGTCATGTTGGATTTTTGTTGCAGTATTTTTAACTTTCGTTTCAAGTTCATCTAATCTTTTATTTATCTCTTTTCTAAAGTTTTCTATTTCTGTTATAGCATCTTTCAGAGAAGTTGTTGAATTAGCAACTCTATGTTTCAGATCTTTTGTAATCTGGCAGCATTTGTCTGTCAGTTTGTCAATATTTTTTAGAGTTTCTTTGAACTCCATGCTGTCTAAAATCTGTCCTGTTATATCAGGTATGTAGTCCACATGGCAGGATGTTGGTGTGTGTTGAAGGGTTACACAAACGGTACAGATAAGTGCATTATGGTCATGACAAAAGAACTTGATAATTTCATTTGTATGTTTAGGACAAGACTTTGTCAAATCAGCTGTCTTTCCACCAGAAGTAGGTTTTAATGACTTATAGAGGTTTTGTTTATGTGGCATGTGATCTTTATCTAGAAGTTGGTGATGACGTAGTGATTTTGGTCGCCTGTGAGTGTTAAAACAAGTTTGACATAAATGTTCCTCACAATCCACACAGTATCCAAAGGCAGGTAGTCTGATGTCATCTCTGTCACATTGTTCACAAAATATGTCAAAATTTCAGCACCCCCTGAATGTGTAGATGACATTTCTGAATCCCTTTTTCCCGGGCCAACCCATAAAAAACCAAAATAGAAGTTTTTTAATTTAACCACTGATTTTTATCTTTTTATATTAAAAAAAAAGAATTTTAATTCAAATATTAATTCCCTATGCCTTTTCCTTATATTTTGTGACACTTTAATAATCAGGAAAACAAATTATCTTTAAGTTTTTAGTCGTTGTTTGAAGCATGTTTTAAGTTTTCAAGTGTTTTTTGGATCATTTTTTTAAAACGCTTTTCCGAGCAAAATTTTCAGCAAAAGGGGGTTTTCAATTAACCGGCACAAATTTTTCACATTGTAAGCGAGTGTGCGCACAAATTGGGTCCCTGCGGCAAGGTCAAAGTCACAAGGGTGAAAAATAAATTTTAAAAAATCACTAGAGATAATAAAGTATCCAGATATTTTCCAGATATTGCCCAGAGCATATTTCCTATATGCTTATTTATAATGCCAACATCTCTGTCAAAAGCTTCTGTGATGGGGGTATATTGCAACAAAGGTTCCCTTTTTACACTTTGAACTTTGTCTGGGACATTACTCTGAAACAATAAGAGATATCAACATAAAACTTTGTACACACTTGTTCAGGATCTTAGAATATCATGGAAAATGGTCAGAAAGGATGGTATGATGATTTCAAGGTCAAGTTTGAATGTGGGTTACCTGGGGTCAAAAACTAGGTCACACTGCCCAAATATGGAAAAAACCTTGTTTACACTTTAGAGGCTACTATGTTGATCCAAATATCCATGAAATTGGTCAGAAAGGTTGTTTATATCATTTCTATCTCAATTTGGAATATAGGCTAACGATGGTCAAAAACTAGGTCACACAGCCAAGATATGAAAAACCCTTGCTAACTGTCTACAGGCTATTGTTTTGAACCAAATATCCTGGAAATTGGTCAATAAAGTTGTTATTTTGTTTTCTAGGCCAAGTAAGAACATGGGTCACCTGGGGTCAAAAACGAGGTCATACAGCATAAGTATTGGAAAACCTTGTTAACACTCTAGGGGCTACTGTTCCAGTCCAAATATTCTTGATATTGGTCAGAAAGGTTGTTATTACAATTTCAAGGTAAAGTTTAAATATGGGTCACTTTTATTCAGAAAGAAGGTCACACAGACCATATCTGGAAAAGCCTTGTTTACACAGGGGCTACTGCTTTGATTCAAATATCCGGGAAATTGGTCAGACTGGTTGTATTTGTGATTTCTAGGTCAATCTCAAATATTGGTCAACTAGTGTAAAAAAACTAGGTAACACAGCCCAAATATGGAAAAACCTTGAAAACACTATAGAGGCTTTTGTTTTGATCCAAATATCCTGGAAATTGTGCAGAAAGGTTTTTTAAATGATTTCTAGGTAAACTTTGAATATGGGTCACCTGGGGTCAAAAACTAGTTGTATGTCACACAGGTCAGCCCAAAAAATATGGGATTGAGCCTTCATATTCAGGGCCATCGTGGCCCTCTTGTTTATGTAGACTTTTGATTTATCCTAGGAAAACACACTTATGTCTTCTTGTTCCAAACTATAAGGCTCAAAGCTTATAATTTTTTTAGCTCACCTGAAAACTTTGTCAAGATGATTGTCGAGATAATTGTTCGGATGACTTTGAATATTGGTAATATCGGATGAAAAACTAGGTCAGAGGAGCTAAAAATAGAAAAATCTTGTAAACACTCTAGTGGCTACTGTTTTGATAAAAAATCCTTGAAATTGGTCTGAAAGTTTGTTTTGATGATTTTTATGTCAATTACGAAAATATGGGTCATCTGGGGTCAAAAACTAGGTCACTATGCCCAAATATGGAAAAATCTTGTGAACACTCTGGTGGTCACTTTTTTGACTCAATTTTCATCAAGCTTGTCCCTTCCCCAGGAGTCACTTACTTTATGTTGACTTGTAAAGGAAAATACATTTAAGATTTCTTTTGTAAGTCTTCAATACGATTACCAGGAGCTTAGATATTTGGCAGGTAGCATGGCTCAATGGATCTCTATATTAGTTGTATAAGTCCTGAAGTAAAAAATGGCCCTGCAATAAGGTGAACAAAGTTTACACAGATTTATATAGTAAACATGTCTTAGAAAAAAATTATTTAAATTCCATGCAGAACTCTGGTTGCCATGGCAACCGAATAAAACAACTTATAAAATCCCCTTTTAAAAAACCTAAAGAGCTAGAGCCTAGCTATTAAGCATGAAACATCTTCTAGAGAGTGTCTACCAAGTTTGTTCAAAATAAAGCCCTGGGGACAAAATTGGCCCTGGCCTGGGAGGTCATTTATTTTCCTTATATGTATATAGTAAAAAGAAAAAAAGAATCTTCTTTTAAAAAACCCAAATAGCTAGAACTTAGATGATAAGCATTAAACATCTTCTAGTGGGTCTCTACAAAGTTTGTTCAAATAAAAGCCCTGGGGTCAAAATTGGCCCCGCCCAAGGGAGTCATTGATTTTCCATATATGCATATAGTAAAAACTTATAAAATCTTCTTTTAAAGAACCCAAAGAGCTAGAGCTAAGATATTTAGCATGAAACATCTTCTAATAGGTGTCTACCAAGTTTGTTCAAGTAAAAGCCCTGGGGTCAAAATTGGCCCCGCCCAAGGGGGTCATTGATTTTCCCTATATGCATATAGTAAAAACTTATAAAATCTTCTTTTAAAGAACCCAAAGAACTAGAGCTTAGATATTTAGCATGAAATATCATTTAATGAGTGTCTATCAAGTTTGTTCAAATAAAAGCCATGGGGTTAAAATTGGCCCCACCTTGGGGGTCATTGATTTTCCTTATATGTAAACAGTAAACACTTAAAAAGTCTTCTTTTAAAAAACCCAATAAGATAAAGCTTAGATATTAAGTCTGAAACATCTTCTAATGGGTGTCTCCTAAGTTGTTTGTTCAAATAAAAGCCATGGTGACAAACCTGGCCCCGCCCTGGGTTGTCATTGATTTTCCTTATATTAATGAAGTAAAAACTTAAAAAATCTTCTTTTAAAAAACACAAATATTAACTAAGATATTAAGCATGAAACATCTTCTGCTATCTAAAGTGTATTTAAATAAAAGTCTTGGGGTCAAAATTATCCCCGGCACAGGGGGTCGTTGATTTTCCTTATATGTTTATAGAAAAAATATTCTTATATTAAAACCCAAATAGCTGGAGCTTAGATAATATGCATGAAACATCTTCTAGAGGGTATCTACCAAGTGTGTTAAAAAAAGCCCGGGTTCAAAATTGGCCTCGTCTAAGGCGGTTGTTGATTTTCCTTATATGTACGTATATTGTAAAAACTTTAAAAAATCTTATATTAAAAAACCCAAGAGCTCAGATATTCTTCTAATGGGTGTCTACCAAGTATGTTCAAATAAAAGCCTTGGGTCATAATTGCCCCCGCCTTGGGCGGGGGTTGTTGATTTTCCTTTTATGTCTATTGTAAAAACTTAAAAAATCTATGTTGATCGTAAAAACTTAAAAATCTTCCTTGTCACATTAAACCCATTAAAATAAAATATAAACCATTTAAAGTTAGTTTGAGTTGTGGGTGGGGTACAGAAAATATCTCAAGGTTATTTCAACTGTAGGCAAATTTAAATCAATTTAAAGTAATATAAATACTTGATAAATTTCATTTAATTTTTGAACATAGATATTGAGTAAATTGACTCACCAGCAATGTATACTGCTGTCTAGAATATTAAAAATATTGCTGTCTTTTCGCAACGATCCCTTCACCGCGTTCGACAATGATTGCAAAAAGTGACACCCTCTTTAGTTTCTTATCTGACAAGTCACTTCCTGTCTATGTACTGATATGATAATGTATTTAACCTGTATAAACTTGTAGAGATAGATTTGTTAAATTTTTAAGTTACACCAGATGATATTACCCTAAACAGGAAACTGATGTACAATACTACACTTAAGGTATTAGATGTATAAATGACACTTTTTCAAGAGGCTTTTAAACTTTATGTTTATAAACTTTGCTATATTCTAGACATAAATAATAAAAAAATAACTTTACCATTTTGTTTGAAAGATATTGACAATTTATTCACTTTTGTATCGGTTTAAAAAACACCAAAAACAATTTTTTTTATTGTCTGTAAAAATTTCCTTTTTAATATTTTCCCTTTCCTTTAAAAGTAATTATAAATGAACCCTAATTTTGGGGGAAATTTTAAATTTTTTCCCTTTTTTTCTGTCCTCCCTAAAAAGTATAGTACTTAGGTGGCTTGGGGAACAATAGGGAACAGTAAATTTCTTTGATGCTTTTCATATTAAGCTCTTAGTGGCTTTTTTCTCTTAGTGGCTAAAGAAAAATAGGAGAACAAAGGGTACCACTTAAATCTAAAAATTTGAAGCTTTGTTGTCTGTCCTACGAAAACCCCAAGGGACTGTGTGACTTGGAGAAAAAAGGGAAACATAAAATTTTTTTGATCCTATTCATTCCTTTTACTTTTGCTTTTTTTAAGCCTTGTGTGACTAGAAATGGCCAAAAAGATCAAAGGAAAAGTCACATAAGTACCATTTTGTGGGTACGTCCGGTTGTCCATCCGCATTAAGCTTGTCCGCCCTTCACAGGTCAAACTACTGGTGTAATTTCAATGAAACTTTACAGGAGTGATCACTACCATACTGTGTTGTGCACATGACCGGCACGTTCTGCTTCGCTGCCCAAAATGGACGCCAAAGCTAAAAATATAAAAATATTGTCCAGCCTTTACAGGTCAAACTACTGAAGGGATTTTAACCAAACATTACAGGAGTGATCAGTACCATCCC